ATATATATATATATATATATATATATATATATATATATATATATATATATATATATATATATATATATATATATTATATATATATATATATATATATATATATATATATATATATATATATATATATATATATATATATATATATATATATATATATATATATATATATATATATATATATATATATATATATATATATATATATATATATATATATATATATATATATATATATATATATATATAAATGCCTGCCTCCCAAGTTATTATGATTTTGATTGTAATGCAATAATGTGAACCTTTTGTAAAGCTGCATTAAAACAATTGTTGTAAAAAACGCTATAAAAATAAGCAAAATGAACTGAATCAACACTGGGCTGACTTCAGCTAAATAATGACACTATTTGCTTTATAGCAAATGTTGTATCTGTATCATATTTGATACTGTTTGTATTACTGATTTCTTTATTAGTTATGTGTAGCTCCTTTAAAAACCATCTTAAATATATAAAGCGCTCTATGATTAGGTGATGATGAATATTATGATGAAGGTGATGAGTTGAATATTAAATAATGTGTCACACACATTACTTTTGCAATTCATTTAATATGTCACATGTCTCACCAAATTGAAGAGCTAATTTCTTGGTCAAATCATGAGGGGTTTTCAAACTAAATAACCAATTTTCTAATTTAATATTATAAACACATTAAATAAGAAATGTATTAATAAATGTTAATAATAAAACAGATAAGATAATTGTAATGTAATTATTATTAATTATAATAATAGATTGTATTATATTCACAAAAATATTAATAAAAAAGTGTAAATAAATAAAAAAATTGGGCTAAACAATCTAGTAAATATAATAATGATAAATTAACAAATTTGAAAACAATTTTAAAAGTACAACAAAAAAAATAACATTTAATCAAAACAAGCAAATGAATACTTTAAAATAAAATAAGTGTATAAATGTTTAAATAAATAAATACAGAACTCTAAACTCACCACCCACAATCAGATACGTGTTGGGGAAAAGGCACTTGGCCTGCATTAAGGCCCGAGCGTGTCCCGAATGAAACATGTCAAAGATCCCATCAGCATAGACGCGTACCGGACGCTCCTCTGAAGAGGGAGAAAGTGTTCAGTTCAAACTGAGACTGAGCCTACAGTGAGAGTGAGGGTGGGTAAAATCAGTGTATACACACCTGGAGTACCACGAAGGGCATCTTCCATACTGACACGTGCATATGCTGATTCTGGAGTCACCAGCTCATCAGCGAATGGTGCAGGTTCCCTCAGGCCCTAGAAGCAGACACACACACATACACGCACACACACACAAACAACACACACAAACACACACACAAACACACACACACACAAACACACACACACACACACACACACACACACACACACACACACACACACACACACACACGCGCGAGTGGATGCTGTACACAGGATATTATGTGATCACAGTTAAGTGTTCAATGATTATTTCCAAACCCTCACCACAGTCCTGCAAGGCATTTTTGGGAAACTCTCTCCCTCCGCTATCTCTCCGTTCGACCTCTCTCTCTCTCTCTTCCTCTTCCTGCCGCCGCCTGAACTGTGAGCCTCCATCGCTGAACAGACATCAAAAACACTGATATTTACAGCAGGTTTTAATATATTTTACATTTAGTAAAAACATCCAGACTCAAGATTTTCCCATTAGTGTTTTCAAGCATAAATTTCTTGATCTGTTTGAAAAGAAAAAAACATTCACAAGAGGGCGAATCATTCAACTGATGCAGTCAACAGATCTCAAACAGGAATGTAGATTTGCAAGCCACATCACGAAAAAAACAAAGCCACGCTGACCCAGATCATATCAGCATGATGATGATGACGATGAAGGACAGTCTGAGATGTGGCACAGTTTCACAGAGGAGGAGGCACTAGAGCGGAAAACAATGTTTTCATTCGCCATTCTTCCCTCTAAATCGCTCCATTGTTCGCTGGGAAGATGCCCAGTGTTCAACTGAACGTTCAGCTATAAACCTCAGACATGTGACCAGACAAGTTCCTTTATTTCTGAACAATATTTTAATTAAATTCAAATCAATTCAAGTTTATTTGTATAGCGCTTTTCACAATAATTATTGTTTCAAAGTAGCTTTAGCAAACTATTTGTAAACTTGTTGTGCTTAAAATTAACGCACAATTAAACAAAATTATCTCACATTAACTATAAGACATTACAATGCCTTTTTTAGGTTTTTAAAAGTATTTTAAGATCCTACGAAAATATCTTTATTTTGATATAAACACAGCAACATATACACTAAACAATGCAGTGTGACGTAAAAATATGATATATATATATATATATATATATATATATATATATCCAAATCACATATATGACGTACAAAGTTATGTTTGGATTTCACAAATCTTAAACTATTTACTTTAAGTTTTATATTCACACATTCGTTCGGTGACAAGCACACCACTAAATAATAATTTGGTCAGAAATGGCATGTAAATATGACTTCAAAACAACATTAGCACTATTTAATTAACTGTGAACAATTTTGTACTTCGATAGTCATTGGCTGCTAATTTGATTTCCTTATTTAGACTTATTGCAAACACTACTTTTCTTAAATTATATTATTCAGAAGAAAGAACAAATGTGCGACTATAAAACTTTACCTTAATAAAACTTTCAGATTTCTTAAAGTTGCAGTTTTTTTTTTAAATACATTAACATTGTATGGTTCAAAATGGACTATTTATTTGCTGTGCAAATAAAATCATAAGACTATTAAGTAAACATCATGTTCCGTGAAGATATTTAGCAAATTTCCTACAGTAAATATACCCAAACTGAATTTTTGATTAGTAATGTCCATTGCTAAACAATTAACTGGGACAAATTTAAATGTGATGTTCTCAGTATTTAGATTTTTTCTATTTTTTTTATGACCCTCAGGGTCCAGGTTGATCAAATAACATCCTATTTTTACAAAGTACATGTCAATGAAGCATTCTTTAGCATTCAGATGTGAGCAATGAAGCTTTTTTAGCATTCAGGGAATGTATAAAGTCTAATTTTAAAAACTTAACACTTATGACTGGTTTTGTGGTCCAGGGTCACATGTACTGTGGTGAAGTTGGTATATATTTACTTCCTGACTTTATCCTTATAGCACTTTCTAAATAGGTGAATCATATCAGCTGATAATGTCTATCAAAGTACAACATTGCTCATACAGTCAATAAAATAGTGCTAATGTTGTTTTCAAGTCATACTAGCATGCAATTTCAGACCGAATATTCGAAGTACCATGGTAAAAAATAAAGGCAGCATGTTACAAGTTGTCACTGAATAAATGTGCAAATATAAAACCAACTTTAGCTCATTGCACAATTGCAATATATACTTCAAAATACTGAAAACATAGGCAAATAAATGCGATTTTATTAGTATTTTGATTATTATTATTTATTTTTATAACCCTCCGATTCCAGGTTGACCAAATAACACCCTATTGTAACAAAGTATATGTCAATCAAGTGCTTTTTTGAGCTTCTTTCAGGAGCTTTCAATTGAAATAAATATTTTAAAATACTGAAAACATTGCCGTTTAAAACTTTCATAATTACAAATATGTTTAAATGTATTAGCCACAATTATATAAATGTTCGTTGGTATGTTTTAATATATCAGATTTCCGTATGGTAGCAAACTAACAGAACTATGTTAAAACAGCTGAAGAGAAGTTTTAGTATCAATGCAAGGCCTTCATTCCCTCTAAATGAAGGAGACTAAACACACATGAACTAACATTAGGAAATAACGTTAAAGTCTTTCAAATGAAGCAGGGCGTTTTGATTTTAAACTACTAACCTTGCTTCTGGTTTCCTCCTTAAACACGTCTTTCCTCCACAGTATCATAGGGTGAAGACAGCACTTCTGAACTACACTATGAACACATTTTATTTACGTTTTAAAGACTTTACGGTGATGATCCTCCATATGATGACAGCTCTCCCTCCTCACAACTCCATCATCATCAACGCTCACTAACAACACGCACACTTCCGCTCGTGTGTCCCATTTCCGCTTTGAAATCCTGCCATCTAGCGTCCACTTTACACCAAATAGCGCTGCTGGTCTCCGGTCAGTTTCAAATTGCTGGATTACTCCAGAAATGCATAAACAAATCTAATAATTTAATATCAAATTCAACGAGCTAATAAAATTAACTATGAGCTAAATGCGCCGCAGCAAATGCTTGTAAATATCTATGGACTATGTGCACAGCTGTTTTTCAGCCAATGATGAACTTCCGGTGAAAACTTTATGTGACTTAAGGTTCATATACGAAGGTTTCTTTTACAGCATCGACGTTGTAATGTAATTCAGATATATTCAGTTATACTTAAGTGTCCATTTGGTTGTTAAAGAGTAAAAATAGACAAACAATGGCTTAACAGGCGGCGTCATTGGCCACTGGCTAGCGCCGTAATAAAACACTGGGGTAAAATTTATTTCCATATTTTAAAGACATGGCATGGAAAAGTATAATGTAATGCAGTGCTTATTGTTTGGTCTGATACTCACTTTATCGTATCTCGGCCAGGCTGTGAAGATCGCTGTTTTTTTTTTTCTGATCTTAAATGCGGTTATTTTGTAAAGGATGAATATTAGCTGGAATTAGCTGGAAGCCCTAAGGCTGGCAGACTAAAATTAAAAGTCCCTGTACTTATACCCCACTGATTTTTTTTGTGTGTATGCATACAATGCACTTTTATTTCCCCTTATAAACTATAGTTGCATTTATAAAATATTTAAGCACATTTCAATAAAAAAATCCATCCATTTATAATGTAACAGTTAAAATGAGTAATATAAACAAATAAAAATTGTTAAAAATATTTAAGGAAATTTTACTTCACAGCTTAAGAAGAGCCATACAAAATCTAATTAATTTTATACAATTATCTTCTAATTTCTTTCAATTTCCGTTTACTTTGTCATTTTTTTCTAGCTTGATTCGCTCATTCATCTTATAATGTAACAGTAAAGTCATATAAATAAGTAATAATAAATCAGTTTTAAGTTGTTGTTGTTATTAAAGGTTTTGTGCTGCACAACAGTAATTTATTTCTTACAAAATGTCTTCAAGATATCCTAGGCTAAAAACTTTTATTTTGTCGCTGTAAAATTTTGTGACATGACGATTGTTGCATAAAATCAATTGATTATTTCTGTTTTCTAATTTTGGCGAGAGTTAAAAGTAGCTATAATATGTAGCTGGCAATATTTTTCCTGAAATATACGGTCAAACTGTAGTCTATTAAGTAAACAGCTAATCCAGTTACAAAGACGTAGGCTAATATGTCTTCCATTAGGTCATTAGCCTAACACAACATTGGGTTTCTGTATATTGCAGATCTTCATATTTTACTTGAACAAGACATAATACAATATTTTTGCCATATATACTTTATCAGTCAATATAACTTCATTATGTACTTTAATATTGAAGCATGACAAATATTTTTAACTGATGTAGGATACCTAAAGTCACCTAAGGTGCTTTAAGTGCATCTGCCATGTTTCTTTACCAAACCATATACAAATGAAGGCAAAATGTAATATTTTTTCCTCTTCAAATATTTTCTAAGTAATATTTAACAGAGCAAGGTTATTTTCACAGTATTTACTATTGTTTTATGCTACTTTAACAAAGTATTTTAAAAAGCTTCTTTTGATTCGGCTTAAAATGTTTAAGTACAATAATATTATCTCCTTTAATCATTTTCCCCCAAATGGCTAAAGAACAAACCAATGTTGTCCAATGACTTTCCTAATTAACCCAACTTGAACCCAATTAACCTAGTTAAACCTTTAAATTGCACTTTAAATCTACACAAACAGACTCCTGGCAAGACCTTAATATCAGTTTGACTGAGGACTGGAATGTGTTTATAGGCCATTTTGAGGGATGTAAACAAAAACAATGGTCCCATTGTATTTGCTGTTTAACATTTTAATTTCTCTAGCTTCCGAGAATCCAAAAAGAGCCACATACCAATAAATAATGATATGATAGTTGCTTTAACATGAAGTTATGATTGAATTGCCTCTTGTTACAGTTATGAAATGGTTTATAACAAGTAGGAAATGTTCAAGGGCCAACAAGATGACCACATTGAAATGGTCTATATATAGGGTCTATAGATCCTCAATTTGTGCTAGACAGCCTTATTCAATTTAAACTGGAACATACTGTAGACTTCATCTTTCCAAGGCCAAGGTGGCAAGGATGTATTCCTTTGTTGACCCTATCTGTACAAGATGCAAGCAGTCTTGCAAGCATGCACAGTATTTTACTTGCACAAGATGCAATAATTTTGGTCAAACATTTTTTTTGATCTTGCTCCAGAATATTTTGCAAAGATGTTTGTGCAAATTCCTTAACTGCTGTCTTTGGTATTGTTTATGAAAATAACAATTTGTCAATAAGTGAACTGTACTGCATTGCCTTTACTTCATTTTAATTAATTGGAAACAATCATTTCCCTCTTCTTTTAAACAGTGGGCCAATCATTTGTTGCAATTCTTTGGTTTAGAAAAAAATAAGACAATTTAAATAGTCCTGGGTCCAAGTTTATTACCATATGGCGTCCTTTTATAATGGCTTCCAAAGCCAAATGTAATTATAAGTGGACAAAATGATGCTGTCAGGTTTTGCTTGTACTGTACTGATGTTGTCTTCATTGTTTAGTCTTTGTTTATATGTACACAATGTTAAAGCAATATATTTATATGTCTGCTGTGTTGTTAGTTATGTTGATTAGTTAATGCATGTTTTTTGACTATTTAAATAAATTAAAAGGGGTAAAATTGCACTTTAAACTCTGAATACTAGTATCTTGCATAATAACTACGAAATAGTACTGCCATCATGGCAAAGACAAAAGAGTTTACTTAAAACAAATCTGTATTGGAAATTAAACTTCTCCCCTTAAAGCATCACTTAAATCTATCACATCTCTCAAAAGTTTGGAAAAGGATCAAAATTCCACGTAAGAGGTGATAGTTTTGCCTTCGACTGTATGTAAACAAATGCAGGAGTACATTTACAGCTAACACAAGGTCACGAACTGTGGAACAAATGAAAATCGAGACGTTTGACATATCACAAGCTGTATTTATCAAGGAGTTAACTGTACAGAGTCAGTCAGGATCTGAATTATACAGCATTCATTCATTCATTCACTGTTTCCATGTGTATTAGTGTCACCCTTGTACAGTGGCTGTGAGTGAGAATGGGAGTGGTTTTCTTCATGCACAGCAGTACCATTACAGGGACAATGTCATTCATGCAACCTGAATTGCCCATGTTTCCTTTCTATTTCTTTCCTTTGAGCTTTGGAGAGATAACCCCATCGTTATTAATAATGTTATTTAAAACTGATATTAAAACCCATAAACTGGTCTTATTTCACAGCAGAAAAAGAGCGTTTTGTTTGGTCTGTACAGAAGCAATTACAATTTGTACAGGTCATCATTGAGCTGCTGAGCTAAAACCAATGGTGCTTAAGGGTCTGACACGCTAGCTACCCAAACGTTTAAAGACTAAAAAAGTACTACAATGGATCATCGTATATGCCATAAAACCCACAAAGCATGTGTGATGCTGTGCGTGTGTATATATACACATATATAAAAGTAATTAAACAACTTTAAGAATATAGACACCACGACAATCCCCCCAAAACATTAGCTATTAAAGACTGTTAAAACAATATATACTGTTAGGGTTGTGCTTTCTGCTGATTCAGTGCATCTTGCATTTAATAATACTGTAAAAAGTGTTACTTTAATAAAAGTGAGTAAAACCATTGACTAAGTGAACTACACTAGCTGGCCACTTTATAAGGTACACCTTACTAGTACCAGGTTGGACCCCAATTTGCCTTCAGAACTGCCTTAATCCTTCATGGGATAGATTCAACAAGCTACTGCAAACATTCCTCAATGATTTTGCTCCATATTGACATGATAGCATCACGCAGTTGCTGCAGATTTGTTGGCTGCACGTCTATGATGTGAATTTCCCATTCCACCACATCCCAAAGGTGCTCAATTGGATTGAGGGCTGGTGACTGTGGAGGCCATTTGACTACAGTGAATTCATTGTCATGTTCAAGAAATCAGTCTGAGATGATTCGTGCTTTATGACATGGTGCGTTATCCTGCTGGAAGTAGGCATCAGAAGATGGAGACACTGTGGTCATAAAGGGATGGACATGGTCAGCAACAATACTTAGGTAGGCTTTGGCGTTGACACGATGCTCAGTTGGTACTAATGGGCCCAAAGTGTGCCAAGAAAAAATCCCCACACCATTACACCACCAGCACCAGCCAAATTCTGACCCTACTATCCGAATGTTGCAGCAGAAATGGAGAAATGGAGACTCTACAGAGCAGGCAACGTTTCCCCAATCTTCTATTGTCCAGTTTTGTTGAGCCTGTGTGAATTGTAGCCTCAGTTTCCTGTTCTTAGCTGACAGGAGTGGCACCCAGTGTGGTCTTCTGCTGCTGTAGCTCATCTGCCTCAAGATTGGACCTGTGTGCGTTTACACCCTATTCACATTGGGCGTCAACATCATTTTGAATGGGTACTGCTCGTCCGGCAGGGGCGTCTTTTAGAGTCGTCCTAACCTTCCCCCCCTTGTGGCGCCCCTGACGTCAGGCATTGCCGGACTGCATTGTGGATCCGTCGGCGCAGCTTCAGTGGCATTGCTTGCTGCAGAAGTTAGGAATTTCTCAACTTTTCAAGCACCAACGGACGTGTCAGCTAATCAGATTGCTTTATGCAAATACCCCAGCTCAGAAAGTAGCAGATTGCGGACTAATTTCTATGGCTAACGCTGCTATGATGATCGGTAAACGTTGATGCTGACGCCCCATTGAATGCACGGATTGAGATGCTCTTCTGCAGACCTCGGTTGTAGCGAGTGCTTATTTGAGTTACTGTTGCATTTCTATTAGCTGGAACCAGTCTGGCCATTCTCCTCTGACATCACATCAACAAGGCATTTGCACCCACAGAACTGCCGCTCACTGGATAATTTCTCTTTTTCAGACCATTCTCTGTAAACCCTAGAGATAGTTGTTTGTGGAAATCCCAGTAGATCAGCAGTTTCTGAAATACTCAGACCAGCCCCTCTGGCACCAACAACCATGCCACATTCAAAGTCTCTTAAATCACCTTTCTTCCCCATTCTGATGCTCGCTTTGAACTGCAGCAGATCGTCTTGACCATGTCCACATGCCTAAATGCATTGAGTTGCTGCCATGTGATTGGCTGATTAGAAATTTGAGTTAATGAGCAGTTGGACAGGTGTAATAAAGTGGCCGGTGAGTATGTGGATAATTCCTAAAACCAAAATAACTTAATTACCTAAATTTTTAAAAGTGTAATCACTTTTAAGGAAGTGGATTTACTGACATTTAGTAATCACTTTTTACAGAAATCTTCCAAATGATGACACACTCGGCTTGTACGTCTCAACAGACTGAACTCATATGGGACGGAAGCAGCAGATATTAATGTATGATATGATATTGTATAAATGAAAGTGTGAGCCAAGGACATTATCCCCTGTACATATGTAAGTATCAGAACGAGTGCATTGTTTTGTAATAAAAAAAAAAGTCACAAAACCTGTCCCAGACCCTCAAGCACCAATCCTCCGCTCACAATAGCACTGTGCAATGGGGCAGTAATTTAGTGCAAAGGAAAAGTTGCATAAATTTTCTACTCGCAATTGTTTACATTATTTCCATTCGCCACCACGTTGGACACTTCTTACTGCACACCCTCTGCCTGTATAAGTTATTCTATTGCATAAAAATAGGATTATTTTTTTCTTTTTCTGTACCAAAAATTAGACTTGAAGACAAAACCAAGGGCGTCAAAGGAAGAGAAATTCAGACCCGGACACAGAACGCTCTTAAGAGAGATATATATATACAGTATATGTATATACAATGCTTTGAGATTGTATACAGAACAAAAAATAAGAGCTGACAATTGTATATTTCAAAGCAGAGATGTTACAAAAGCATGTGCATGACGCTCTGTTCGGATAAAGGAACCAACATGAACTTGCAGAGAGAAAATGACTGACTGAAAAACAAACGTACACAAACATCATCATCTCCTCCTCCTGATTGGTTTACATTTCTCTTTACAGAAAGAGGACCATTGCTTCTAACGTTATTTTTTTTTTACATTTAAAGGACTACAGCGGACAATGAGGCACAAATATGATACCTGAAACCATTACATTTCCATTTAACACACTATGACATTTAGTTTCAACCCTGTATGACGCATGAGACGCATCCTAATGTAGTCAGCTCATGTTCGACTGCAGTTTGTGCATGTATATTGAAGAATCTGTCATCATTTGCAGAGTTGTCTAAAGCATGTACCACTTTTCTCGCAGTATACCTTGCATTTTTGCTAGCTATATGGGCTTTCTATTCTATTACCTGCAGAGTAACACAATTCAAAGTCACATTTCGCTCAAGTTCAGCCAATCAGGAGAGACAATCACATACTAACACGGCATTCATCTTACAACCACATCACCTGTTAAACCAAACGCCTGAATCCCTTCAGATCGCTTTTAGCGTCAAAACGTGTGGTTAAAAACTAAAATATTCGCTTCTGGAGTTTTACAAAACAATCAGCTCTGTGCTTGGAAGACTTCTGAGTGTAAATCAAATCATGTAAACGATAGCTTGATGATTGATGCGATACACGTACATGCGTAGACACATACACAACCCATTTGGTAGTCATTAGAAAAGCAGTCGACCTGGCACTCAACATATAATGCATAACATGAGATTAATAAACGACTGTGGTGGGGGGGGGAAACCAACAAACCCTTGAAATCAGATCTGAGAATACACTCACGGCAGGTGAGCTGCTTCCATTTATTGGAAAAAAAAAGACAGGTCATATTTCTCCATCTGATACCTCGTCGGCATGCTCAGATATGGCGTTCAAACATGTGGTCTACAAAGAGGCAAGACGAGAATCCAAATCGTGTGGAAGAGCCATCAATGAATACAAATCAACAAGAGTATAAAAGAGCTAAAACAACTTACAAAAGAAACAGACAAAACATGCTCTTCAGAAAAAGGACCAACCTCCAGAAAGATTTTGGCATATTTCCGGTTCAGCGTGAGATTGTATAGAACTGAAGTCGAGACGTACAATTTACAAAGAGAGAGACGGGTACACGTACATATGGGTCATCTTGTTTGTTCACGAACGGATTAGAAAATAATCTTCATCAGCTACTTTACTACAACATCTTCCTCTTTTATCCTCCATTTGCCTATGCTATCAGCTCTTTGGCCCGTATGGAGCTCCTGAATTGTCATAGTCCTCGGCAGCCACTAGAGGGCGCTCACTGACACATGAGCTCAATGCACCTCCTTGTGCCTGATTCCAGCTGGACAGCAAAGGGAGTTCACAGTGACGCCTTCCTTATTCCTGATTCCCATAGAGCACTTTCCTGGAGTTTCCAAGTCCTGCCTCACTGCTGTAGGGTGGCTCATTTCTTCTTGGCCGTCTTTTTCTCAGGCTTTTCACCCTTGTCTGAGCGCACCGATCCCCCGTCGGCTCGGTCGGACTTTTCGCCTCTTTCCGAGCCGCCGGCTCTGCTGCCATCCCTGCGCGTTCCCTCGTCGGTAGATGAGGTAGTTGGATGGGTCTGCCCCAATTTGGCAAGCTCTTCGTGCTCACTTATACTCGCGGTTATGCTTGTGATCCAGCTTTTCAGATCATCCTGCAGGTCAAAAACAGATTTAAGACTAAATACATGTTTTCATAAGAAAAAAAAAAAAACAAGTTAAAGTTATGACCAGCAGTCTCATTTATAAAACTTTGCACAGAAACCTTCCTAAACGTAAAGGTATTGAAGAATTAATGTTTTTATTAATGATTATGGATCACATAATGATTTAAAGACAGTTACGTCAATATTTTAGTTAAATATGTTTACTTAGTGGGTGACGCTGGTTCGAGCCTCGTTTTTGTATGGAGTTTGCATGCTCCAGGTGCTCCGGTCCTTACAGTCCAAAGACATGGGGTACAGGTGAATTGGGTAGGTTAAATTGTCCGTAGTGTATGGAGTGTGTATGGATGTTTCCCAGAGATGGGTTGCAATTGGAAGGGTATCTGTTGTGTAAAGCATGTGCTGAATAATTGGTGATTCATTCCACTGTGACGACCTTGGATTATTAAAGGGACTAAGCCGAAAAGCCCCCCACAAAACATTGCATTTTTCTTTATTAAACGAGTTTGTCTTCTGTTATCAACAGGGGTGTGTGTGTGTGTGTGTGTGTGTGTGTGTGTGTGTGTGTGTGTGTGTGTGTGTGTCTGTGTGTGTGTTAGAACAAATCAGAGAGGTGGGGGCCCTGTCGATGCAATAGCCTAGTGGTTAGCTTGCCGACATATGGTGGAGTAGCACGTCAGGGCGTCTAGAGATCGAATCCCAGCTCGAAGACATTTCCCAACCCTACTCTCCTCTCTCTCACCCACTTCGCTTCCTGTCTAATTACTGTCCTTTCTAATAAGGAAAAAAAAGAGAGGGGGGCTCTAATGCAAGACTTCTACCAAGGGCATTCACTCGAGCATAATTCACTCACACTATGGTATACGAACCATGCGTTTCCCGGTTCGTTTGACAAGTGTGAGTGCTCCGAAACTGGGCCAGGCACGGTTCAAGTGGCCGGCCTGGCCCAGCTAGAAGAGGTGTGCCAAAGCCAGGTTTGGTTGGGCTTTGGCATGGTGCGCTTGTAGTGTAAGGGTTGTAAGAGGCTAAATTATCATATGCATTTGTTTATACGACAAAAATGTCTTTTTGACTCAAGAAGGTCCATACTGACTCCAAAGGCAGATACTGATAAGATCAGGGCCTGGTGTGTGGACTTTGGGGGGTTCTAGATGTGGTCACATGTTGATTGGTCAGTTTGAATGTCTCAGTATTTGGACATTAGTCACATGGTCAAGAAGGATACAAAATAGGTGGTAAACTCGGGCCCTGCCTATTTTCCTGGTCTGTTTCTCTCCTGCTCTGCTCCTCTCCTCCTCTGGAGTCTATCTTCTCTGACTCTACTGCAATAAGGCAAAACTTCTGGGCCTGCTCTCTTTGTCTCTCTCTCCCTCTCCCTTTGTCTCTCCGTCTACCTCTGGTAACTTTGATTTTACATGTAAGCTGGGTACAATTGATATCATATGTTTTATTATTTCATGTTTTATCATTTTATACAGTTATTTTGTAAATAATTCAGCTGTAACCATAGAGAATTATTGTCATTAAATGATCTCATTTTCAAGTATTTGTGAATTACTTTTGATTTAACATCAACATTTAATTGTTCCATATTGCAATAGAATAAAATCACATAATATCAACGCTCTCCCACATTTATAGCTATTAATACTGCCCTTATTTCCCTTTTGGTATAAGATTGCAGAAGAATGGTTTGACTAGAAATGTACAGTTTTTTACCATCATACTGATTACTTTTTAGTCATTCGGCAGAACTACAGTTCGAACCGCTGTTGTTAAAACCCATTCTTACAGGGTGTACTCACACTATGCTATCCAAACCATGCCTTGGCGTGTTTCCCGGTTTGATTGAGACGTGCGAGTACTCTGAATCGGGTTCAGGTGCGGTTCATTTGGCCAGCCCTGGCCTGATTGGAAGAGGTGTGCCAGAGCGTGGTTCACTTGGGCTCCTGAGCCCGAACAACATTAGATGAGATGTGACGTTTAAGGGACTGTTTAATATGGATTTATTAATCATTCTTACTGTTCAATGAACGCAAACTGTCGTAGATTATTAAAGAAGCAAACCCCTCACTGCAAGACAGATGCACCTTCAGCAAACCTCCTTATACTTGCAGCACGAGGACTTTATGATTGTTTATGAGCGTCAAAAGTGGCTGATCTGTTCTGCGAAATATTTAACTGTGTTACTGCATATCAAACCACTAAAACGACTAAAGAAATCTCAACTGTGATATGTCCACTGTCCTGAGCGAGAGCGCTTCTCTTCTGTTAAACTGAACAGCGCATCATCGATGACGTAAGCATGCTCTGGCTCGGATGCAATGTGAGTGCAGGCCGTCGGGGAAGAGGGGTAGGGGGGACAAGCTTGCTTCGTCATGGTTCAAGGCAACTGTACACAAAGGTCTCAAGGCAACCCTCACAAAGGTCAACCCCCCCATTAAAACTCTTACATTATACTTTATTGAATATTAAATATGTTTGTCTTCTGTTTCAACAGGTGTGTATGTGTAGGAAGGTTACAACAAATCAGAGAAAAGGGCCCTAATGCAAGACTTCTACCAAGGGGATTCACTCGAGAATGATTGCAAACATAACTGGGACCCAGAAACCCAAAATACGACCCTGGTTGTCAATACATCTTAAAGGGTCACGAAACACCAAAACACATTTTTTTGAGCTGTTGACAGTCGTATATGTGTCCCACACTGCTAAAAACACTATTAGGACACCTATATTTCACTAAAAAGCGTAAATTGGTTGTTTTTGCATTATTTCAAGTAAATTCGTACTTCCGGTTTGAAACTAATTTTTAAAAGCTGCATCACGGTCATGACATAATAGCGTGTATTCCAGCATGCGGACTGGGTGTCTGTGCCAGAGTGTGTCTTATTACGTCTTACAGTGTGCTGCATTAATGCATGAGTAAGGCTTGGTTCAAACCAATCAGCGCGCTCTATTGTGCAACTTCATTAATATTCATTACTGTCACAGTGGTTAGACGACACTCACACCACGTTGTGTTGGCAAAACAAGCGTTAAAGGGCCATGAAACCCCCTCGTTTCAGCAGGGTGTTTTCACACCTCTTCTTTGGAAAAAGTCAGAAAAGTGGGGGTGTCCAGCTCTGTTTAGGGGGGAGTGTCGGAGGAACTAAAGTGGGAGGGTGTGGGAGTGTCTATTTGGGCACGCGCGAGTTTCAGTCAAAATACACAGGAGAAAGGGATGGTGTTTAACCTACATGGACATCTGTAGTCGAATTATTTGCCAAATTATTAAATGTCGGACTTTAACTGCAGTTCGGCTCTTTCATTCAGGGAATTCATTCATGCCCCTCGCGACAAATGAGATATTTGATTCGAGGATCTGCTCTAAGCGTGTATTTTTCATGCAATGTTTGATACCGCACGGCGAATGACAGAAAAAAAACTCCGCATTTCCCGGAAACTTAGATGCACACGGCAGGTAGCGTCCGAAAGCCGCGTGTGTTATTCCGGTCACAAAATGCGGTGCTAACATGTTTGCACTCAATGCAATAGTTAACTTATTTGATACGAACAAACTGAATATACAAAGAGCACTGGTCGCTCACTTACCAAATCTGTAGAGACAGGACAATCACCAGCAACTAGAGCCGCGTCTTTATGAAGAGAAGACTACATCCGGAATCCGGATTTCAGCGTTTGCAGATGAGAACAGCTCTCAGGTAAACAATAATCCCCCTTAGACACGTAAATTATTGTTGTCGAGCGTCGCGTACACTGTAATCCACACGTGATCCAGATAAGCTCTCACAGAGAGAAAATGAAAACGAAACTTAATGGCAGCAAACTGTAAAAGCAACACTTCACGCTTGTTTTGCCAACACAACGTGGCGTCTCTGTGGTGTAAAGACGGTGACACTAATGAATATTAATGAAGTTGCACAATAGAGCGCGCTGATTGGTTTGAACCAAGCCTAACTCATGCATTAATGCATCACACTGTAAGACGTAATAAGGCACACTCTGGCACAGACGTCCAGTCTGCACGCTGGAATACAACGCTATTATGTCATGACCGTGACGCAGCTTCAAAAATTCGTTTCAAACAGGAAGTACGAATTTGCTTGAATTAACGCAAAAACAACCAATTTACACTTTTTAGTGAAATATAGGTGTCTTAATAGTGTTTTTAGCAGTGTGGGACACATATACGACTGTCAACAGCTCAAAAAATGTGTTTTGGTGTTTCGTGACCCTTTAAGTGTTGCTTTTATAGTTTGCTGCCTCACGTGTGGATTAACAGTGTACGCGACGCTCGACAACAATAACTTACGTGTCTAAGGAGGAACATTGTTTACCTGAGAGCTGTTCTCATCTGCAAACGCTGAGATCCGTATTCGTTTGTAGTCTCCTCTTAATAAAGACGCGGCTCTAGTTGCTGGTGATTGTCCTGTCTCTACAGATTTGGTAAGTGAGCGACCAGTGCTCTTTGTTTATTCAGTTTGTTCGTATCGAACTAAGTTAACCATTGCACCGAGTGTAAACATGTTAGCACTACAACCAAACTTTAACCTCGTGTAGGGTTTTTACCGCATTTTGTGACCGGAATAACACACGCCGCTTTCTGACGCTACCTGCCGTGTGCATCTAAGTGTCCGGGAAATGCGGAGGTTTTTTTTCTCTCGTTCGTCGTGCGGTATCAAACATTGCATGAAAAATACATGCTTAGAGCAGATCCTCGAATCAAATATCTCGTTTGTTGCGAGGGGCATGAATGAATTCCCTAAATGAAAGAGCCAAACTGCAGTTAAAGTCCACCATTTAATAATTTGGCAAATAATTCGACTACAGATGTCCATGTAGGTTAAACACCATCACTTTCTACTGTGTGTTTATTTTGACTCTGAAACTCGCACGTGCCCAAATAGACACTCCCACACCATCCCACTTATCTTCCTCCGACACTCCCCCCTAAACAGAGCTGGACACGCCCACTTTTCTGACTTTTTCCAAAGTAGAGGTGTGAAAACACCCTGCTGAAACTAGGGGGTTTCATGGCCCTTTAATCTAACTGAAATAAGCTGATTCGGATGGAAACTGTCGGTGGTTTTCAGCTGGTTCTTTCCCTCCATAAGATATTAACTTTTATAGATGTTTGGTCAACTGGAATACAAAGCTGGTTTAGCAAAAAAGAAAAAAAGTCTGAAGATTGCATTTAGTCATGGTTATGACTGCATTTATATCTCACTAAATTACACAGATTGTAATCAAACCAGTAAACATGGAAACCACCTAGGATGATAAAAACTCACCTCATCTTTAGCATGGAACAGAAACTCGCTTCCATCCTTAGTTCTAAAACGATAAAGCAAAAAGTATGTTATGAACAGGGAACTCCACATATGTGGTCAATCTGCTAAAGGAAAAAGCACAGCTGAAGTACTTGAGTGTGAAGACATTCTTCTTCTTTTTGTAACCATTGTTGATGTCACAGGCACAACGGCTCAGGTTGATAAGTGGCTCGTTGTTGTAAGGTGTGGCGGTATTCTTCGCATCCTTGTAGAAGCCCAGCTCACCTTTATTCAACACGCAGTAGAGATTGACCCAAGATCTGCTGTAGTGCGGGAGAGAAAACAGACGGTTCGGCCATTAGAGTCCATTAGACACTCTGCTCCTAGCTACTCACCTGCTGAGTCTGGGATGACCAGCCCTTGAGACTGAGCAAGACCAAACTGCTGCAGAGGTCAGTAAAAGAGCTTTAGAAAGAGATGGGCAGACCGTGGCTTACCTTTGTAGAGAGGCAGGAGAACAGGCAGCGGCAACGAGAGCACAAGAAAGAAGAGAGATTTTGGTTAATAAGCTATACTGCTGTGTGAAGGCTAACATTAAAAAGATAGCTTCAATGGTCAAGCGTATTATGTGCACATACATGCTACCAAAGAACAGACAGCCATTCTTTAGAGTTCCTTCAACTCCTCAATGCAATGAATTAGTTTGTAATGTGGCGGCGCATCAGGTCTTGTACAAACTGGCTGAATAAAGCTGTGAAGGGTGGTGAAGGCTTCATACCTTGCTAGCCATGGCTTCAGAAACCCAGCATCTGATGGTCTTCTGATACAGCAACATCCAGCAACCAGGCTGATTTTAGTGTTACCATGCAATTGGCAAGCAGTGCTAACAGCTAGCTATTTTCTGCCATTGCTGGATATGAAACTTGTTATCAGGAATGACAGCCAAACAGCTGCTCTTCAGTTAACTTTAGGAAACATTTTAGCCTTGTAAAGCATTCAAGCATATCCCAGTTTGACTTGAAACTTGGTGAAAGAAAATAAGAGCTGCCTTGTATTAAAAATGTCAGTGCTCTAGCATCAATACACAATGCTAATAACAAAATTAGCATAGCTTTGAATAACCAATCATACTGATTGGCATATTTAGTTTAGCCATTTCCATGCTAATTCCATGCCATGTACCCTTAATGGTTAGACCACAAAATCCCACCTGTTTGAACTCTTCTTTTGGCCCTCGATGTCAATTTTTCGGAAGAGGAACCCTTCGTGCTGGGCCGTGTGGGTGGGTGGCAGGGGTACTTGTGGACTGCTCTGAGCTGGAGCAGACCTCGAGCGTCGTGTTTCGCCAGCTGTTGGTTCCTTGGGTCTTGGTCGTCTTCTCGGTTTGGGTCTATCCCGAGCCCGAGGCCGGTCCGGTCGAGAAGTCTTTTCCGGCAATCCATTGGGGAGTCGTGGAATCTCTCCTCTAGCCTGAGTTTCAAATATAAGGTAATAATGAGCATGTGACCTAATGTAGTTTGAACAAGAGAAACAAACAGACTGTCCACACACCTGTGCTGCTTCTCTTTCCTGAAGCTGCTCCACAATCTCTGCTAACGTGGATCTTTTCTCCCTGCCAACATAAAAGGGGAAGTCTGAAACCTTGCAATAGGTCTCTTAATCTAATAATCTATATCGTCTGCAAATATTTGAGAAATGCAGAGAAATAACAGCTGGCTTCTGTCCTTCTTGACTTGTATTGTTTACTTGAGTTGTCGTTTTTGTTCTCGCAATGATTCCTTGCTGAATGACCAATCAGTGTGCTCTCTTATACTGATGGCCGACGCCAGGGCTGGCTGATTAATCGAAAAGAAATCGAAATCGACATTCAGGACCTATAATCGATCAAATTTTTCCAGGTCAATGTTTTTAATTACCTTCTCTACTGTGTGTGGAGTTAAGCTCTGTTAAGGCTCAATTATACTTTATATTTATATTATTATATTTATATTTATTATATTATGATTTTTACTTATATTATTATTATTAATATTATTATTATAATTATGATATTATGTTTCTGCCAAGGGCACGTTTACAGTCCGGCACAGCCTTCGCATACCAGTGCATCTCTTAAAAAAATGTATTTGCACGTCACAATGATGCGTATTGCAAGCTTTGTGATTGGTTGGTTTAGTAGCAGTAACGATAGTGGGCAGCGCACAGAGTCACGTTTTAGGGAATGTGTGTTTTAATTTCAGTTGTTCAGCGGTGATGTTCAATAAATAATCATAGATAGTGTGTGTTTCCTTCAATTAATTTAAAATGAAGTAATCCACCCTACATTAAAAATGTCTCACTTGTAATATGAGCATATTTACTTTGCAAAACCTGTCAATGAACTCTGAGGGCAAAAACATAAAATAAATTTAAAAACCATCATTCTTTAATCTTTATCGTGTTAAAATGTTCAGTCTATCGAGATTTTGATTTTGGGCCAAATCGCACAATTCTAGCCAATGCCAATTCTACATGCTGAATTGGGCCAACTTGATCCGACATTAACATGACAAATGAAGTGTGGAACACACTACACTAACTAGCCGAACCTATGCTGACCAACGGCCTGACAAAGCTCAAATGACTGACGGTCGGTTAGGGTTGTCTTGATCCTAAAAGTCAGTACCGATCGATAGTGAAATTTTAAAAACATCCATTTTCCTCTAACACTGGAGTGCTGGTAAGCACGTTTTTAAACACCACTGATTTGACATTTAGATTAAATTAAATTAGGGCCGGGACACACTAAACCAACAGTAGGGTTGTCACAATACTGAAATTCGGAACTAGACGATACTGAAATCTTAAAAACGTCAATTTCCTGTTAACATTTGAGCGTGTTCTTGAAGAGCACTGATTTGCCATAATGTTCATGTGCTCAACAGAAATGACTGTGATTGGCCGTGAAAGTCATCATTTCACCAAACTCACCTTTGTTTACTGAGTGTAACTCAGCAGTAACAGATACAGGGACACCAGAGCTTGCTAAAACCGTGCTTAATCTGCAGCTCGCTTGTATGTCAGCTTATAGATAAACCAGCTGATCAATGTGACTTATAAACGCTCCAGTGTCCCTGTGTCTGTGGTTACACTCAATAAAAACCGGGTAGTTCAGTGAACTGTTGACCTTCACAGCCAATCACAGTCATTTCTGTTGAGCACATGAACATTATGGCAAATAAGTGCTGTTTAAGAACACGCTCAAATGTTAACAGGAAATTGACGTTTTTAAGATTTCAGTATCGACTACTACTGAATTCCAGGATCGTGACAACCCTACTGTTATTTAAAAACAATATATATATATATATATATATATATATATATATATATATATATATATATATATATATATATATATATATATATATATA